TGGCTAGAAGTCCTTTGACTTCTTAAGATGAACCTGGCAGGAGAGAGCAAGGTTGAGGCAAGCCAGAAACACAGAAGAAAGATCCCCTGAATTGCCCTTCTCAGATGAGGGCATACCAACAGACTGTCCATCCCTAAGATTCCGATGGTCGGGCCTCTGTCCCAGTTTTCCCCCATTGTGAACTATAGGGAAAGGGACAACATGCTATTTTATGGTCTCTCCAACACTTCTACAGAAATGAGATGTACTGCACCTCCCTGGAGTTCACAAGGAAATTTCCTTCAGTTTCAAGTGGATACCAGCAGCTGTTTTTTTTTTTTTTTTTTTTTTTGGTAAAGTTCCAGCAACATACTCAGTGTAGCCTTACATCTTGTAGAAGAGGACAAAAATTGCATCTGCCAGGCACAACTCTCTGAGAGTCCTACCCGAACCTAGGTAAGGACACTGCCTGATGCCAAGTTACCAGAACCATCCTTCTTGCCCTATTGTGCCTTCAAGGAAAATCAGGCTTGCCAGGAATGGTGGAAAAGCAGAGTAAGGAAACTGATATCTGATCACTCTGTTTTCAGTGCAGCCTTCAGAAACATTGAAGCCTTGGATCCAAAAGCAGCCTGCCAAACCTCATTTCATCACGGAGAATCCGGAACCTGGGCCACAGTTTGCCCTCCACCAGGCAAAGGGGTATGAGACCTTTGTAACTTTGGGGAGACCATGCCTTCCCCGAAGCTTTGGGAAATAGCAACATTGGGAGAAGGATCTGGTCATTACTTCCCTGAGGCAGAAGCTTTCTGGGTACTGAGCGGCAGGCCCTGCAGAATGAAGCAGATCTTTCCCTGCCTCTAGGAGTCCAGTGGGCATGGGGTGGGGGTGGGGAGGCACAGAAGGCTTGGAAATGAGCCTCTAGAGGGACATAGGGAAGTAGTCACATCCATCCTGCTACACATGGGGGTGAGGCAGGAGCTGTTACTTTGCCCTTTGAACTGATAAGGAAACACCCTGAAATCCTACTTAACTTGACCAAGGTAAACCAACTGATGGGATCAAAGCATTATAAGGTAGGGACCCAAGACTATCCTGATTCTGTGCTATTCACTCAGGCTTTTACCAGCTGCCTACTCTCTCCAGCCCTCTTATGAGTCATCGGGTTGCCTTGCTCCATCCCTGCTGCCTGAAGGATGCATGAATTAACTCCACAAGGTGTTAAGACCACCCTTGATAAGAACTGATGCTGAAGGGTGCTTGATAGCTCAGAATGAGGAAGACTCCAGGCAAGGTTGGCAGGAGTCTCTCCTAAGATCTCCCTGCTCTATTACCCTTACCCTGCCCCTCACTGCTGGGGTAGTTCCAGTGGGGGCTAGATACCCCAACTTGATACTTGTTTCTGGAACAGTGAAGTGGGGACCAGTACATGTAATGTCCATTCTTACATTCAACTCTAGTGTTCAAAAACAAACAACAACAACAAAACCAAACAAATGAAAAGAAAAGCTGCACTGTGGTATCCTGAGTACTCCATGTCAGGCTGTCTGGCAGCTCCCTAGTTCATGCATCTCCTCTACAGACTGAACAAAGGAACTTTTGGATGCATAGCCTGGGCCTGGCCTATCCAGAGCTAAGCACCATGGGGCCACTTCACATGTCATGACTTTGAATTTCCAAAATCTTAAAAACAACAAAAAAAGGTATAAGCAATTATCAACTAAAAAGATCATTTTTTTCCCATGCTTAACCCTCCAAAAATATTTCAGATTTGAAAACCTAAGTGTCAAACCAACTTATAAAGAAAAGCCTTCCAAGATGGCCCTTCCCTGCCAGTTCCCCCAGCAGGGGAGAGAGCTGGTAAGGCTGGAAGCACTTATGGTATTCCTTCCTTTCTCAGCCCCCCTCTGAAGCCTCCTTGACTCTTCCCAACCGGAATCTGGAATCTTCTTAGTAATTCTGTCTTTGCTCTGAGGATTGTATAAAAGCTTGATAATTTTTATTCTTAGATTGGTGACTTAGATATTTTCCTTATTATTTTTTTTTTTTCCCCCCAAAAAAAAAAAAAAAAAAAAAAAAAAAAAAATATTTTCCAAAATACCTACTGAATGGCAACAGGAAACATACACAAGGCAGCAGCATTGCCTGTATGCTGTGAGGCAAGCAGGGTTTGAGTATGAACACACGCCAAGGCTTTGCCTTAAGATGTGGCATTCCCTAAGAACTTCACTGAACACTTCGCCCTTTCTTCTCTTCCTTCTGTCTTCCCAAACATGCGGATCCTCACCCACAACTGGACAGCACAAGCTCCACACTGCCCAGCCCCAAGCAGGTTCACCTCACTTTTATTTATTTGTGTATTTAGTTTTTTTTTTTTTAATGGGACCTCACTGTGTAGCCCATTACTGTTCTCAAACTCACAATCCTTTCTTTCCTCTTCCTCCCAAGTGTTGTTTTTATACAGATGTGAAACACTACAGCCTAGCCCAACCCTTTGTCTACATTGTGTCTAGAACTCCCTACAGATCTACAGCCAATTGCATGTGTAACCTGAAAAGGATAATGGCTGCACCAACTGCTGGACCAACATTATTTAGGAAAACTTTTGAAGGTGTTCCAAGTGTATATTGGCATTTGGATCAGCACAGTGAGCAAAGATAGTCTTCCCCAATGTTGTTGAGCATCGTCCAGTCCTTTGAGGGCTAAGGAAAAAAAAAAAGATAGAAGAGCAAATGTTCTTTCTTCTTGAGCTAGTAAATTCATGCTGTCCTGCCCTTGACCAACTTACTTCTGGCTCTCAGACAGAGACTTGCCAGCACCAGCACCAAAGCTTCCCTGCCTAAGCAGCTTTTGGGCAGCAGATGCTGGGGCTTGTTGGCATCCATAATCTAACACTAGCTGATCTCTGTAATAAATCCTGTCTTATACATAAATTCTTTTGGTTCTATTTCCTGGAAAGACTTGTTGATGCAGTACCATATTCCCTAAGCACACATGAATGGGACAACATTGGGAACATGGATACTAGGAAAAAGATGCTGGCTCAGGTCTTTAGTTTTCCTAGGACCTGGGCTCTCTGCTTCTCTGTGAATGGTGAGTGTGAGTTTATTCAATAAATCTTCATAGAACTATTGTCCTGGGGCAGTCCTATAAGGCCCTCTGTTCCTGGATTGGATAGCCACAGGCAGAAAGCAGATCGTGAATAGAGCCATGGTGAGTCACACTGGATGAATCTGAGATCTCTGACTCTTCTTGTTGGAGGAGCCTTCAGCCTCTACCATGACACTCCTGATAGATGTTCATTACTGTGACTTGACAACTTTCAGTGATAGGATCTGTCCAGTTTTGTGAAAACCAGCCGTTCAATGAGTGGGGGCCAGCAGGCCTTTCTAAGAAAGCTGCTTCCAATCCTCTGATGAGACCACAACACATCTCCCCAAGGCTGTAGACCAGCTAAGGAGAAGTACTGGGGAAACATCTATTCAGCAGCAGGCTAAGAAGCATGCTTTAGTTGGGTAGATATCGTGGAGAGAATGTGGTTGGAAGAGGGAGAATGCACATTGCATAAAAAAGAGCGCCCTGCAAGCATGGTGTGTGCACTAAGTCTGTGCCAGGGAGGGGGATGACACCAGAAGGATTTTGGAACAGTAGTAAAGAACTAGCAAAAAAGCAAACACCCGTGGCCCTTACCTTTCTTTCTTCCTTCCTTCCTTTCTCTCTCTCTCTCTCTCTCTCTCTCTCTCTCTCTCTCTTTCTTTCTTTCTTCCTTTCTTTCTCTGAGACTGTGGGAACCAGGGCTGTAGGTTACATGGTTCAGGACAGAAAGACACAGGTAAGCCGGGCATTGGTGGCGTATGCCTTTAATCCCAGCACTCCGGAGGCAGAGGCAGGCAGATCTCTGTGAGTTCGAGGCCAGCCTGGTCTTCAATGAGAGTTCCAGGGCAGCCTCCAAACTTACAGAGAAACACTGTCTCAGAGAAAGAAAGAAAGAAAGAAAGAAAGAAAGAAAGAAAGAAAGAAAGAAAGGAAGAAAGGAAGAAAGAAAGAAAGGAAGGAAGGAAGGAAGGAAGGAAGGAAGAAAAGGGCCAGGTAGCAGTATTGCTAATCTCATCCAGGTAGATTTGAGTGAGAACCCTGGAGCCATATGATAGTCACCTCTGATTTTTCTATTTCTTCTGTGGTGCTGGGGATGGAACCCAGGGCCTTGGACATACTGGGTAGGTAGGAAAGCATTACACTCCTGAGTCTCCTTTTTTTAATCTGCAAAATGAAGTTTCTAAAACTCAAGCCTGAGCATAGGGTTGTGTCCCAACAGCCCTTAGCACAGGCGTATCACAGAGAAAGCTCAGGCTGTGGAACTGTGTAGAAGGGCATAGGCCCATAGGCCTTGGAGATTGGCTGGAGGTAGAAAAGAGTACTGCTCATCTACAATGAGTTTGATAATGATTGCTGGCCCCTCAGCAACTCAAATCTTGGTAGGCCTTGTTTTACACTATCTAGAAATACATAGCCAAGCAGCTAGATGGTCAGCTGGGGGCTTCGTCGTCGTATTAATTTCATTTCATTTAAACAGTTATGAATTAGACAAGGGAACATTATGTTCTTTTTGCAGCTTCCCACCAAGCACTTGAAAGTACTTTGCAGTTAAATGAATATGGAGTATTTAGCCTTCATGTAAGAAGACAGCTAGGTCAGCAGGGTGGCTCTGTTTTGGAAATCATTCATTATTTTCCCCTTTCTGTGACTCTTTGGACCTGTTTATTCCAGAAAACTCTCTAGAGTCAGGTAGGACTTGTACAGCTTCCTGAACCCTTATGGTGATGTCATTGGCCCCTGGCCTAGACTCAATCACTAGAGGCCATTCAGGGGATGTTTTTAATTCTCATAATACCCCTTGCCTCATCCTGCTGTTTACATAGTGTGCCAGGATATAAAAGAAGAACACAGTTTCATTGCTTACTAGGAAAGGCAATCAAGATAGCCTGAACTCTTCCCTAACTCTGAGCATTGTGCTGTCTCTTGTTTGGAGGCCTAGGGTGCAAGGGCCTTCCTGTCTGGGTGCATGGGCCTCACTTTGTCTTTACTGTGGCATCTCTTGCCAAACTAAGCACCTACATCTTCCATCTAGCCACTAGGGACCACATCTGTCCACAGCTCTGTCTTCTCCATCTTACCTTGAGCCAGGGATTTATAGCCGGGGGTGAAGCAACATCTCAAATGCTACAGTGGCCATTTATCTCCTTGTAGCTTTGGCAAGCTAATTAGCCTCATTGTACCTCAGTTTCTTCCATAAAACATGAAGAGAGCAAGGCCAATCTTAATCCAGCTCCTCTGAATGCCAAATAGAACTCAGTGTAGTGCTTAGTACTTTGTGCAAGTATCGGCCATCACAACTGAATACCCCTGTCACTTATATTCCAGGAACCAGCCTACATAATGAGCATGAGGACTACTCCGTTAGAGAACACTCAGCTGGCTGCCCATCCACCCGAGTTTGACATTGCATTAATGGAATCTTTTTTACTTCCATAGCTCCTCTCAAAGCCAAATCAATATTCTGCTTCATGTCTGGATTCCAAACCTCGAAGATCACCAACATCACTTGGGAGAGAGGAAGGCTACACATTCAGACTTCCATCCTGGATCCTCTGAATTCCCAGTCTGGGCCGGGAAATGTATTCTGAGAAAGGAGTTACTGGATTTTTTTTTTTTTTTTTTTGTAATATCCACCTAAGAAAGGAATCTGTGTATTTAGCAGATTCTGGTACTATAATAGACTGTCTGGTGCAAGAATTTAGCTGAATATCTTAGCCATTGTAAGGGAAAAATTGGGATCTGCTGCAGATTGGTTCTTAGCTCCCCCACGATCCAATCTGGCTCTGCAGGATATACCTCAACTTTGGAGGCCCAACAGATTCCTACAGTCTGAGAGGTAACCTAAAGTACTAAACACACGGCATGTGTTTAGTACTTTTAGAGACTTTGAAGGCATGCCAGGACACCTCCGTCTTCTATACACAAAGCAGAGGCTTTCTCCCATTACCAGTCCACATTGTTTGTATGGAAAACTCACCACTATCATACCACACTCACTCATGTGCCCACCTCCCTCGTCTCTGTCTCAGTGACCTCTGGATCCCACTGGATCCCAGAATGAATGAGCTCTCAAACAGCACCCAAGAAACCCCAGGTTCTCCAAGATATATGTGTGAATTACATTTTCACCATCAGAATAAAGCAGATCATCGTGCTCCCATATGTCCATTGCTGACTTAAAATGTTATTTTACTGTGTGAGCATGAATGTCACATATATGTATATACACACACGCAGAAATCAGAAGTCAAAATTGTGGAGTTGGTTCTCTCCTTCTACCTTTATGTTGGTCCTGGATTGAACTCAGGTCTCCAGATACCTGTATCCACTGAGCCATCTTGTTGGCTTCCCATTGTTAACCTACAAACTCTGAAACACACTCCCCACTCCCAGCCCCACCCCCAAGCGTGCGCGCTTGTGCGCGCGTGCACGCGCATACACACACACACACACACCCTTGCCCTGTCTGCTCAGGCCCTCGAGCTCCCTAGCATAGACTAGGAGGTTGAGTGTGATGGGCTGCAGCTGTTGGCATGACTGCTTTTACTTATTATTTTTAACATGGTATTCATTTCCTAGAAATGACACAATAAGCAAATAAACACCAGCTACATTACCATTTTCCAATTCTTCAGAGTCCAGTGTGATGAAACACGGAAATTTCAGCTGCCCTCTTCTAGCCCTCTTTTCTCCCCCTCTCCAAAGCCCCAAACTAATCAAGAATACCAGGCACCTACCAAATGCCCACCTCCCTTCATAAGATCCTAAATTCAGTTCTTCCCTTGACTCCCAGAGCAAGCTCAACCAAGACAAAAGAACTGAAACAAAGCAGGTCACACCATGTGTGTGCACCACACACACACACACACACACACACACACACACACACACACACACACCTGTTTTTGGATGGTTTTCCTGCTGCCACTGGCCTCTTACAAGCCTGGTTACTTGATTCAAGCTACTGGAAAATCTTGATGATTAAAAGAAAACTTTCCCCCTAGCCTTGCAGGCTTTCAGGATTTGTGTCAAGTAGAGATTCCTCATTCTGTAGCTCAAGCTCTGGCAAATGATAACAAACCACAATCTGCTAGAGTCTGCCTGTGCATCAAGACCTTCATAATCCTATTCACAGAACCAAATGGAGGGAGGGACCTATAGTCATGGAAGCTGCCAAAATGCTGTGTCTCCTTGGCTCTCTAGCACTGGTAGTTATCACCCTTAGCTGTCCCCTTTCTCCATGGCTTAATATGATTGAAGCTTTCTAAACTGAATATATGCTTTATAGGTAGGAATGGCAGTTTGCCTTTTCAGTATCAGTGTCTTGTATTACTTTGTCTGACTATAGAGCTCTGTGTGCACTGAAGGCTGGATGGGTTGGTGAAAGAGTCTCCCCTTTAAAGAAGAGAAGCAAACAAGTTTCTTTAGTGCAGTGTACAGAGAGCAGAGGCCATGAGAGTAATATAACAGCCTGTTTGTGGTGCTGGGCTATGGAAGAAGCTCTGTTTTCCAGGAGCCCTCATTTGGTAATGGTGAGCATTGCAAAGTTCCCGCCACACAGCTGGAGGAAGCTGTCCTAACGGGTTGTACGGAATAGAATGTCTTTTCTGTTCTGCGGACACTTTCTGGGCCAGGTTTTAATTAATCTCTTTCTGGTCTCTCAACCATGCCTTTCCCTCTACACTATTTTAAAAGTTTGGAAACCACTTCTCCATGCTCCACAGGTGTAAGTCACAGATGAGAACACTGAGGTTATAGGACAGGTGACCTACATGAGTCGACTCCTACATCTTTCTCCAGGTAGAATCAAGTCCTTCACCATATTAGTTTCTTTCCTGCCCAAGTTTCTGGCTACATTCCAATGGCCCAACTTTGGGTCAAGAATTTACTGTGGATGTCCCGGGCCGTCTCATTCTTCCCATTTACGCAGCATGAAAACCCAGGGAACCCCTCTAAATAATGTTCTACTCAGAGAACTGCAGCGATCACTCCTACAAACCTTCAGCAAAGACTGCCCTGGGGCTCCTTTGTTAAAATCTAGACATTATGACTGGAAACCAAAAAAGGATAAAGCAATAGAAAGGAAAGTAAGGCTGGGACATCCGCACAGAAACATTGAGGAATGCACTACCTCTTGGGACCTCTAACCAAATAAATATACCTTGTTCATTGCATCAGATTCAGCACCATCTGGTTAAAGCCCCAGGAAGAATCCCATTACAGAGGCACACTCTGGTGACAATCACTTCCCTGACCTGGAGCAAAGCTGGCTAGCTGTGACCCTTTGGCCTCTGCTCTTTAACCTTATCCAGGGAAGGAATGGGGTAGGACATGGATTCCTTGAGTCACATAGGAGGCGGCTAGACTTGAGCAGAGAACAAGGCAGAGGCTGTGGAACAAGATGATTAGGACTAGGTTGACAAAGCTTCATGCATGTGTGGCTTTGGAGAAGGTAATTTTTAGTTCTGTCAAGTTAGCATAGTCTAAAATCACCTGAGAAAATAATATCTATTGAGTGGGTTGCCCAGGTCAGATTGCTCAGTGTACATGTCTCTGGAGAACTGTCTCGATTGCTAATGTAGGAAAGCCCAGCTGGGCGTTGGTGGTACACACCTTTAATCCTAGCACTTGGGAGGCAGAGGCAGGCGGTTCTCTGTGAGTTCGAGGCCAGCCTGGTCTCCAGAGTGAGTGCCAGGATAGGCTCCAAAGCTACACAGAGAAACCCTATTTCAGGGGGGAGGAGGGGAAGGAAAGCCCAGTCCACCATGGGTGGTGGTACCACTCCCTGGGTCCTTGGTTCTAGGCTATATGGCAAGGCTAGCTAAACATGGACCTCTTAACCAGCCAGCAGGCAGCATCCCACCATGGTTTCTGCCTTCAGTAGCTACTTGTGTACCTGTCTTCACTTCCCTCCATGGTGGATTTTGACATGGAAGTGTAAGCCACATAAACCCTTTCACTCCTAAGTTGCTTTGGAGCAACAAAATGAACTATGAGAGGCCAATCTGAGGCAGCAGGCTGTTTCCACCACATGTCCGAGAAAAATGAGCAGGGATAGAGACTGGAAAATGAGGGAGGCTCTTGACACACAGTCAGCTACACCTGCTTCAGTGTATCATGTGGTCCATGGGACAGGTTTGACACTTGTGTTTCAGAATTAAACTGTTTCCCCAGGGCTCCATGTTACCCTCCAGAAGAATAAAGTCATTTCCAGTGCTGGACCTTACCTGGGCCCTTGATGAAGCAAAGGCTAAGACTCAGTCCCCAAGAATATATCAGAGATTTGGGGACAGAGAATGTTCACAGTTCTAATTACCAGAATGTAACCATCTATGAACATTTCCCGAGTACACACTGTGACTGAGAAGTAGACTGCAGGTTTTAAAGATAGTAGTTCTTCTATCCTCTTAATAGCCTGATGAGGAGTTCAATGAAGATGTTCCCTCAAAAATTCATGTTGAAACCTAACATCCAGTGCATTGAGAGGCATGGTCTTCCAGGATGATAGTCATAAGAGCTCCAACATTGTGCATGGGATTAACTGCTCTTAAGAAACTGTGATTGAAGGATTCCAGTCCCTTCTTGTCCCTTCTGGCTTGGGAGAGATCAGGGATCAGGCAACACTTGAGAAGCTGAGACCGGGCTTTCTCCAGGCCAAGTTTCTACACATGATGAAGTATGTGCTGTCTTGAGTGTTCTGTTCAGCAGCACCAATGAGGAGGCGCTATTACTGTCTAACATTTGCCAGGGACCAGGAAGACTGAACTTGGCCAGCACAGCATTGGAACTTTAAAATAACTTCCGGTTGGAGAAATAGCCCAGTACTTAAAGTGCTGGCTGTTTAGGTTCAGTTCCTAGCACCCAAAACTGTCTGTAATTCCAGTTCTGAGGGATTTAGGCCCTCTTCAGGCAATGTCTGCACATGGGGCACATGATGGCAAAACTCATATACATAAGATAAAATTTAAAGTTTTTAAAAATGATAGCTTCAAATATGTGTTTTTACTATTTTGTAATTGTGTGTGTGTGCGTGTGTGTGTGTGTGTGTGTGTGTGTGTGTGTGTGTGTGTGTGTGCGCGCGTGCGTGTATCTAAATACATGAGCTTAACTGCTGAGCCTTCTTTCTAGTCCCTTCAAAAGATTTTCTTTGTGGGAAAAGATTTTGCCCAAACTATTCAAAAGTGGGCAGAAAAGGCATGTTGGCATATATTAAAAATAGGTCCTGCATGGTGGCACATGCCTTTACCCTCAGCACTCAGGAGGCAAATTTCTGTGAGTTTGAAGCCACTCTGGTCTATGTAGTGAGTATCAGGCCAGCCAAGATAACATAGTGAGACCCTGTGTCAAACAAAATCAAGCAACAAAAACATATTGAGAAAGAATCTTAGAGGCAGATCGGAGGCTGGGAGTGATAGCAGGCCTGTCCCCTTATGTGTGGGTAGTTACAGACAATTGCTTATCTCAAAATAGGCTTTTCTTCAGTTCTCAAGTGTACCACCATGAACTTGAATACTTTTTGCAATGAGAAAAGAATTCATAATACCTGCCATTGTTTCTAAACAATATGTGATTGCCACATTGGCCCCTTGTCTTCCAATTGTCTCACAGTATAGACCATGGGCTCTAGATCCTACCACCCCCAGAAAACTTCCCCAGCTCCCACTTGAGTGAACTTTGGGTACTGTTTCCAAGCAAAGCCAATTGCATTTCTCCAAACAACAGTTGACACGAAGCAGATTTTTCGCCCTGGTCAGTTCTTGCTACATATTTGGGATGCCAAGATTCTTTTAAATGGTGTGGAAAGTCCCAACAACCAGCCTCGATGTCAACTTCTGAGTAAATAATTTCTCTTGCCAACATTCCTTTCTGGGGTGAGCCTTCCAGCTTTTCACAGTATGCTGTCTGTAACCTCTGCACAGCGTCAGACCCTGTGGTAAGCAGCATATAGCATACACCCACATGTCCCATGAAGGATGCTAGGTCCACATTCCTTCAGAGCATCTTAACTTCCTGTCTGAGAAGCAGTAGCTGTTGCAGGTAGTAAACTACTGGAGTGAAGGAGGCCCTACTTCAGACACAGAACATCAAAATCAGGGTGATTCTCCAAAGACAGGTCCTTACTTCCTTTTGTGTTGGTGCATGTAAATGCGTGAAGTTAAAGGGGAATCCACAAATAATGTGGCCTCACTCATGGAATACAGCAGCCCTCTATCACCTATTCTGTGTTGGATGGAAGAGAAAATTCCAAATATTTTTTGTTTTGTCTTCTTTGTTGTTGTCGGTTTGGTTTTTCGTTTGTTTGTTTGTTTGTTTGTTTGTTTTGTTTTGAGATAGGGTTTCTCTGAGTAACTGCCCTGGCTGTCCTGGAACTCTATCTGTAGACCAGGGTGGCCTTGAACTCAGGGAGAGCTGCCTGTTTTCACCTCCCGAGTACTGGGATTAAAGGTGTGCACTACCACCATCTGTCATGAATTCCAAATATTAAGATTCAAGAAAACTCTCTTCTTTGCCCAGCTAGTATGTATAATAAAATTATATAGGGAATTGAGCATGGTGGCATGTGCCAATATGACCAGGAGAGTGCCTGAGGCAGAAGAATCTGGAGTGGAAGGCCAGCCTGGGCTACCTACCAAGTTCCTGCCTCAAGGGAGGGGGGCAGCTGGATTGGCAAGAGACCCAGTGTAGCTTTGCATGAGTGGTGGATGGTTTGGGGAGTTCAGGAGACTCCAACTCAGTGAGAAGGAAGAAAAGACCAAGGGAGGTTGGGAGCTATGGGGTAGGTCGGTCAAGATTTGGAAAGTGAAGGGGGCTTTGGAGTTTTGAGGGAGTCGGAGGAAACAAAAGACTTGAGAAGACTGGTCCAGGGCTGCACAGTTAGGGGTGGTTTATCTTGATTTCTGTCTGATGGTGGGGCTTTTAGTGCTTTGACTGAGAATAGCAAGTCCCAGGCACCAGCAAGTGATTTACCACAACTGTCTGTGGCCAATGCCTGTGGGTAAATTGCGTCTCTGATTAATACAGGGTCAGGCTGGCTAGGATTTCTCCCCAGGTTTCATTTGCCTGTCACATGCTTATTAACTTTTTAAAATGTATACACAGTATTTCATTCAGAAAAAAAAATACTAAGTAGTACAGCACAGTCATCTGGCTTGTGCTCAAAGATTCCAGTTCTCACTTAGTACATCCCATGTGTCAGAATTTGAGTTAAGATCCTTTTAGTTTGTTTATTGTTTGGGACAGGCTCTTACAGCTCAGGCTGTCCTGGAACTTGCTATTTAGACCTGGCTAGCCTCTCATTCATGGTCTTCCTGCCTCAGGCTACCAAGTGCTGGTAGTTAAGATCTTTAAAGAGGTCATTAAGGGTAAATAGGTCATTAGAGTGCTTCTGGTTAGACTTCTCATCATTGTGACAAAATACCTCACATAACTTCAAGGGAAGAAGTATTCGTTTCTGCCTACCATTTCAGAGATCTGACTGTCATAGCAGCAGGACAGTTCATGGCAGAGAGGAACACAGCTAGCCTAAGGGAGCAGCCTTGCAGATGCAAATAGCAGGCTGGGGCATAGAATGGGGCTGCTAGAGCTCCCTGCTGGCATCCTGATACCATGTGCCCAGACATCGAACATGGAACTGTGGAGTTTAATGTTCTCCTAGTCCACCCTCTCAGAATGGAGCTGTTTATTCCATGGCATTGCATGTTGAAAGTATGTAACTGGGGGCTAGAGGGCTCAGGGGTTAAGAGCACTGGTTGGTCTTCCCAGAGGTCCTGAGTTCAATTCCCAGCAACCACATGGAGGTTCACAACCATCTGTAATGAGATCTGGTGCCCTCTTCCACCCTGCAGGCATACATGCAGACAAGACACTGTATACATAATAAATAAATCTTTTTTTTAAAAAAAGAAAGGAAGTATGTAACTGGCCTTTTTACTTTGTCCTCTGTAAACTAGGCTGGCCTCCAACTCACAGACATCTACCTGCCTCGGCTTCTTGAGTGCTGGGATTAAAGGCGTGAGCTACCACACCCAGCCCTGATTCTTTTTTCTTGAGATAGGGTCAACATGGATCTCAGGCTGCCTTCAAACCCTATGAAATCAAAGGTGACCTTTAACTTCTAATTCTACCTCCAGAGTCCTGGGATTAGAGGCGTGCATATACCATGCCCTATACTTGTGATACTGCCAATTCAACTGAGGGATTTGCGCATGCTAGGCGAGCTCTCTACCAACCAAGCTACATCCCCAGTCCACGGTGATTCACTTGACTGTCAATTTGACCAGACTGATAAACACCTATGATATTAATAGTGTGTCTGTGAGGGCATTTGCAGAGATAATTAGGCCATGACAGTTACCCTAATGACTGCAACATCTGAATAGACTGCGGAGTGGTTAGAGAACTGAGGTAGGTGGGGCCAGGCTAGAGGAAGCCAACCACACTTAATAAAGTGTGTGTGAGTGCGTGTGTGTGTGTGTGTGTGTGTGTGTGTGTGTGTGTGTGTGTGCGCGCGCGCGCTCTCACGGGAGTATGCATGTGTATGGGTGTGCCTGTGTCTCCATCCATCCCCATCCTTGGTCTCTTCCTGTTCTATCTCTGGATTGGTGTGATGCCAGTTGCTCAATCACCACCACCTAACTCCTCCACCACTACTACCCCACCCCTCTACCACCATCTCACTCCCTACTCTCCACCATCCCCCACCTTGCTCTACCACACTTCACTCTGCCCCC